GGGGGGGGGGGGGCACCTGCACGAAACTGGTCTGGTCGGTCGTTATGATTTTTCTCGTGGTATACGTGAGCAAAATCGCGATTGTTTGATTTTTACCCCGTTTTTTCTTTATTTTTTTTTTGTTTTTCTTCTTTTTTTAAATTTGAATTCGAAAAAGTTGGCTTGCGAGTCAGAGGCGAAAAATCTTACTCGTTTGGTCGACAAGTATATATTTTTTGTCACTCGGAAGAAAAAGTTGAAATTAAGAAATTTCAAAAAGTACGGACGGCTATCAATTAAAGAACAACCATATCCATGTGTCCTCCATATAAGCACGTAACGGATGATTTCGCATCCCCCGTTCCGCCCCCTTTTTTGCGCAATCGCTCACACACAATATCCATGTAACGGAGTTGGAGGCGCATACTTGTTCCTATACACGGGGTTTAGCGATTTTACGGGGCAAGCGTATAATATACGCGGTGAGCCGGTTGGGCGCGTGCTTGCGGTGCAAGAGTAGATGCGCCCTCACCGCGGGTACATACCGCGATCGGACGTTTATTTGTTTGGACGCGGCTTGTTTCCCATGTGTATGTCCAGGTATACGTGCAATTGTGGTTATTCTATGCCAACACGATTATCTTCAGTGTACGTCCTATTTATGTAAGATGAGTGTACCTACATCTGATGTAATACATGCGGTGCTCTGTACGTGCAACAACTGATGAACAATGCAAATTTTTTTTTTTTTTTTTTTTTTTTTTTGTAATTTGAAAACTTGAAGTACTGGGCAAACTAGAAAAAGCACACAGGCACACAGTACATGTACTAAGCTATAGTTACGATTTAACATACCTGTACTCGCACCCACAGGACATATAATAAATCGGTACGACTAAAAGAGACAACAATAACACATATATATATTATATACATGATAAATACGTCAATGTTCTTATTGTGTCGTCTTTACCGTTAAGTATTAAACGTTTCTTTTGCACGAAGGGTGCACTTGTATTGTATAGAACCACTCACGATCACCCATCTATTGTACACCCAAGTAAGCACCGTACAATAGTATAATCGTTATGTAGTATATGGGCACAACTTTTAAATACGGTATATAATTATGTCTCGCGTGGTATGTGTACCACAGCAAAGGCATAAAGTACCCACGGCTTCCTTTTTCATTTCCCTCGCCTCGTCTTTTTTCTTCTTCGCGTATTCCATACCCTTATTATCCGTGCCTTCGCATACCTGTAGGTAACAAACAACAATAACAACAAACAGTGATGGGTATAGCGATGCAAAATCGCTTTTGACGCGTCTTTTCCTTCGTTGCCTCGCAGCGTCAGCCGAATCAGTTGCACAATGTGCTACCCCGTAAATGTATACAGGTAGAGATGCACAAGCAAAAAGGGGGGAGGGTCGCAAAAAAGAACCGGTTGGAAACCGTTAAGGTGCGCAGAGCAGCAACGGAGCAAGCAACATCACGAGGAGAGTACAGTCTCGTATACCCACGAAGTCACGACGCGGCTAACGATCCCTTCTTCCTCCTCTTCCATTTTTTTTTTACTTTTTATGTCTTGCTGCTGGCCCTTTGTCCTCAACGCTGTTATAGTTTTTTTTTTTTTTTTTTTTGTCTCTTGATTAACCCTTTTTTTACGGTGGTACTCTTGTTGAGCGTGGGTTTCCCTGGATGGCAGCGCGTGCTGTGAAAATTCGCTTATGTTGTTACCAAATGGACCACATGTCTTGGGCGGAAATAAAAAAAAAAAAAAAAAAAAAAAACCTACATTTACAAAGTTTACCTGTGCATCATCGAAAGGTTGCTCGTTCATGCTTCTGCTTCATTTTGTTCCACGGAAGCAAGCCAACTATCCACAGCTCAGATCTGCTTTTTTTTTTTTTGTTTTTTTCACTGCCGAAAGAATCACAAAAATCAACCATTGCTATGTAAAAATATAGTTTTGATGTGTTAAAACAGATATAAAACCAAATTATACTCACTGTTAGTGAAAAACACGCGTTGGAATAACTCGAGAGACTCGCTTTTCGATCACGCAATTCAAGAAGATACACATATCCTTAAATTACTCGTAACCGACGAGGCATCAATCAACAGTTTTCTCATAGGAACATTGTCTATTTCAATAATGATTTCCCGTGGGATACGTCAAGCCCATCGCGTATATGTATATATCTAGCCTAAATGTAAGTCTACAATACTATGGCTACACGGTTAGCCCCACCTAAAAATCGATACGGTATTTTCATCATCGTCTAATCAGCATTGGAAAAACAAAAAAAAACAAAAAACTCAAGTCTTTGACTGCATGTCGGGAGGCCATTTGCCGTGGCTGCATCCCTTTACCGCCATCCATCGGATATACACGCTCGCGAGTCGGTACTACTCGCGCTCAGGGGCAACATCGCGAACGTGCAGTGTTCTGCAGGAGTATGTAAAGTAAAAAAAAAAAAAAAATAATAATAATAATAATGATAATTTCTCGATGCAAAATACATTTACACGTGGCAAATAAAAAACCGATTCTCTTGGAATCTGTACGTTTTTTGTTATACCGATCTACGTATTGATTAAAAGGGTTCCTTCACTGTCGAGTTATCGTGCAACCGGTACATATGGCTTATCTCGCTCAACGTCCATCAATGATTGACCGGTCCGTCAGCCGAACCAAGCTTACACCTCGAAAAAATTCGCTCGCACAAAGAGACGATTGGCAGACAGTCCACGTAGGGGGTCTTCCATATTATACGAAGAGCTGCGAGCGTCTCTGCTTCGTATCAATCGCCCGCAACTCGTGTATTGCACCGATGCGTTCGAGAGGCCCATTTTTGATGTATGACGGACAGGATTGTGATTGCTTGCTTGCACTTCAGATGTACGTGGTTACGGTCGGTCGAGGAGCCGAAAGGGCGCGTCGAGCTTTTTTAAGAGCTTACGCGGAGCCGCGCTAGGTGATGCCGAGCAGAGCGTGTACTTATTTTCGATATTTTCGTTGTTTGGCCCGAGTATACGTTTATCCGTATATGTAACATCGTATAACAAACATCATCATTTACACGATCGAGTCGAACAAACGGTGACGAGCCGCGAGAGTGACCCCGTACGTCAAGGGCAGAGGGAACTTTTCTTGAACTCGCCTCATCATGACTTTCGCACGTTTTCATCAAACCAAAGTATATGTACATGTGATATGCGCGTGGTTGGATAATACATTAGTTCGCGTTATCGATGTTGCCGTAATATGATTGGGACAGGGGTTAAAAAATGGCATGGGTGTAATGCTGCAGTGTTGTGCATAATATATACCATTGTACAGAGGAATATGGGGTGAAAAGTAATGGACTAATTTTCTAATGATTTCCTCCTCCCCCCCCCCAAAGGACTTGTCGGAATATTTTATGCGTTCGGCCGTACTGTAGGGTGGGGAAATAAAAAAGGACTCTCGAGATGATGTATAGAGTATCGATCCCGCACTTCCATTGTTGAACGATGAAAA